AAGGAGGGGTTGCTATGAGTCGGGTCCGACTCCACGGCACATAACGACAACAATCAGTTGAAGGAGTGTTGCCTTCTGGGTGTGGCCTGCTTCCAGTATATACAGAAAGGATTCAACATTTTGTTCAGTCTTCATCTCTAGTTCCTGGACTTGAAAGAGTGGCCTGCTGTGTTGAATGCTGATCTTAGGATTGTTGCCTTTGTAGTCTGTGAGCCAATGATCTGCCATTTTCCCTGCTAATGTTGAGTTTGTCAGCCTCAATAGGCAGCAGCTGCATGAGTCAGGAGAAGCCTCCAGCTTGCTCCCATGGGCCTGGAAGGCAGAGCTGAAGCCCAAGGTCAAGGGGCCTCCACTTAGCCCCTAGAGCTGGCACTCTGAATTTGGACTTCTAGCCTCCTAAACTGTAAGGGAATAAAATTCTGTTTGTTGAAGCCATCCACTTGTGGTATTTCTATTATAGCAGCACTAGGAACAAAGACAATTATCACTTTTCATCAGCTACTCTAAGAATTAAGGATCCATGGTGGAACAGTGATTAAAGTACACAACTGTTCACCAAAATTTCAGTGGTTTGAACCCACCAGCTGCTCTGTGGTAGAAAGATGTAACAGTCTGCTTCTGGCTGCTATGAGTTGGATTTACAGCCTTGGAAACTCAATGGGGCAGTTCCACTCTGTTCTGTAGGGTCACTATGAGTTGGAATCAACTCACCAGTAGTGACTCTAAATGTTACGTGTTTCACCCTTAAGAACAATGGCTTGGTGGGAATGTCAAGAAGGAGACTTTGTGCACACTTCGGCCACTAAACCTGATCTTAGGCACTGAGAATCTCTCAGGTCATGCTTCTCTTTTTATTTCAAAAGACTAGTAAGAGATCCAAGAATTCCAGTTCAGAAAATAAATTATTTTCTAGAAAAGCAATCCTAAGAAAAAGGATCTATCAGCCACTTGAGTATGAGCTGTGATGTTTTACTTTTGTCTGGGTCCTCTAGCAGCCACAGAATAGTTTTTCCTTTATCCGGGAAGCCAGTTTTCTGCTGTTGCCTTGAATGTATCCCTTCACTCTTCAGAGCTGCTATTGGGAAGGTTTCTGGAGAGACTCTCTGCTCAGGAGGGGGCTACAAGGAGCAGGAGCACTTGGTGGCAGTGGAAATGATATGAGGACACAGTGATTCCCCTATCAATTCCTCAGTGAACCTAGAAGGATTATCATGATCATATATTAAACTAAGCAACAAATGAGAAGAAAACTTAGTCCTTAGGGAAGAGTGTCCTGAGTAACAGCTTACTACAAACTGAAGGGATGTTAGCAGGAGGTCCAAGAAGAGCAGCTTAAAGGGATTAATTGAGAAGGAGGGTATTGAAGAAGCTAATTATAAAGTTTGTGTCAGAGATGAGAGAGGATTATAGGCCATTTTGTGCACCAAGATTTTGGAAATGAGAGATGTATTTACCTTATGAGTCTGGGGATAAATGAAGAATAAAGGTAAGAAAGGGAAATCTGGGCACTGAATATGCCCATAAATATGTATCAATGGCTGTAACAGGGAAGGCTCATTGTTGTTAGGGGCTGTTGAGTAAATTTTTGACTTATAATGACCTCATGTGGCAAAGTAGAACTGCTGCTCGGGGTTTTCTAGGCTGTAATCTTTACAAGAGTAGTTCTTTCTCTCAACAGAGATACTGGGTGGGTTTGAACCTCCAACCTCTTGCATAGCAGTGAAGATACCACATTAACCAGTATGCTGTTAAGGTTCTGAACCACATGTAAGTGAAGAAAAAGATCCCTTACTCGATCATTATTGCTCTAGTGTAAGGTTATAGAGAGACCTGGGTCTCTGTTATAAGGCAGTGTGGAAAATAAGCATTATAGTATTTTCAATATCCTCATATATGTGAAAGCTGGTCAATGAGTAAGGAAGACCAAAGAACAATTGTTGCCTTTGAGTTGTGCTATTAGCAAAGAATACTTAAAATACTGTGGACTGACAAGAGGACAAACAAATTTGTCTTGGAAGAAGTACAACTGGAATGGTTCTTAGAAGCAAGAATGGCCAGACTTCATCTCATGTACTTTGGTCATATTGTCAGAAGGGACGAGTTCCTGAAGAAGGATATTATGCTTGGTAAGGCAAAGAGTCAGCAAAAAAAGGGGAAAACCCTCAACAAGATGGATTGACACAGTGGCTACAGTGATGGGCTCAAGCATAGCAAGGATTGTGAGCATGAAGTAGGACCAGGCAGTGTTTTGTTCTACTGTACATAGGGTCACTATGACTTGGAGCCGACTTGATGGCACCTAACAACAACATTAGTAACTTGCATTTACTAGATCCTACTCTGTGCCAAGAGGCAGTTATGGTCCAGTGACAGAATTCTCACTTTTCATGTAGAAGACTTACATTTGATTCCCAGCCAATGTACCTAAAGCACAGTCACCACTCATCTGTCAGTGGAGGTTCACATGTTGTGATACTGAACAGGTTTTTGCAGAACTTCCAGACTACGACAGTTCTACTCCTAAAAATCAGCCAGTGAAAACCCCATAGATCACAGTGGTCCAATCCACATCTGCTCATGGGGATGGTGCAGGTCTGGTCAAAATTTTGTTCCATTGTGCATGAGGTAGCCATGAGTTGGGGGCCAACTCCATGGCAGCTAACAAGAACAACTTGTGCCAACACAGAGCTAAGCACTATGGGGAGTGCAAAGATATGTAGGCCAGATTCTGTCTCCAAGGGCTGTAAGTGTGGTTGGCCAGGGAGGACACAGATGGAGGAAGTGGGAAATGAGCTGTGCTGAAAGTGGAGATCATCACAGGCTAGGTGGTCTGGGGAAGGCTCCACAAAAGAGGAAAAACCAAGGCTGGGTGCAGAAGATGGATGTGGCTAGCCATGCAGGGAAACCTCAGAATCAGACCAGCCTGACTGAAGCGGAGAACCTGTGGGAAGAAGTAGAATATGAGGCTAAAGGGGGTGACTGGGAATGAATTGGAGAGGACATTAAAAGGTGCGATAAGGAGCTTGACTTTTTCTGTAGACAATGAGAAACATCCCAGTAAAAGTTTTGGAGCATAGGAATGTTCCAGTGAAAGCAGAGTTTCAGGACAACTAAGCTGGTAGGTGTGCAGAACAGTTTGGAACCAAGTGACTGGTGACAGCAAGAGCCCCTCAGGAGGCTTTTCAAGAGTTCATTATGAGGCAATAAAGCTTCACTAAGAGTTGGGAAGTAAGAATAGAAGCACCTAGTTGAATGAATGGTCTTGATCTTACCACAGAGTCTCAGCCCCAAGTCTTGGGCAGGCAATAGTACTCCCAGGTCTATAGCAATGGGTTGGTGCCTTAGTTATCCAGTGCACAAATGGTGGCTTTAAAGAACAGACATTTATTGTCTCATAGCTTTAGAATCTAGAAGTCCAAATGAGGGCATCAGCTCTAGGGGAAGGCCCTTCCTTGTTGGTAGTCCTGGGAGCTCTTGGCTTATAGATGCATCTGTCTTCACCATCACATGGCGTCTGTCTTCTCCCATGTCTGTGTGTTTATACTCCCCTTTATAAGATAATACGTAGAAGGGATTAGGTTTAGGACCCACCCTAGTCTGATATGCCTGAAACTGCATAACTGAAGAAAACTTTATTTTCAAACAGGGACACAATTTACATGTACAGATGTTAACCAAAACCAAACCAAACTCACTGCTGTCAAGTCGGATCCTACTCACAGCAACCCCTCCTTGTGTTTCCAAGGTGGTTATCACTACAAAAGTAGATTGCCCAATTTTTTTTGGGGGGGGGAGGATACAATTGAATCCATCACAATTGGTGTACTTAAACCACAGGGCACACCACATCTCTTGCAAAATTTTGGGGGGAAGGGGTAAGGGAGTATTATTTTTAATATTAAAGTTAACATTACTATATATGAAGACAAAACACACAATATAAATGATGGCATTCTCCTTGGGTTACAAGCCCAGGCTCCAAGTTCCTTCTCTGCTCTCCCATCTGAGAGTTTGGGATGGATGATTTTATTCCAGCCCTCTCATCTGACAGCTACAATGCAACACATTACCATCAAGTTGGATCCAACTCATAGCGACCCCTCCTTGTGTTTCCGAGGTGGTGTTACTACAGAAGCAGATTGCTCAACCTTCCTTCCAAGGAGTGGCTGGTGGGTTTGAACCACCAGCTTTCTGGACAGCTAGAGAGACTGAACTGAGAGCAGTGGGATAGCACTGCCGGCCAATCTGAGACTGAAGCATAGAAGCCGGGCTCTTGACTTCTGGCTGATGTTCCTGCTTCTGTGTTACATAATCTTCTCTATATTTACCTACCTCTTTAGGACATAGCTCTGGTAGCATAGTGGCTAAGACACTTGCCTGCTAACCAGAAGGCTGGCGGTTCAAACCCACCAGCCACTCCTCGGAAGGAAGGTTGGGCAATCCTACTTCCGTAGTGATACTGCCTCGGAAACCCAAGGAGGGGTCGCTATGAGTCGGGGCCGACTCGACGGCACATAACAACAACAACAACAACTTAGGACATAAGCTACTAAAGTATTCAAAAGAGTTCAGGGCTTGGTAGAAGAGGGTAAGAGAACTAGCAAGGGGAAGAAAAGGAAAAAAGATTTATTAATCTTTGCTCTGTGTCTACGTGTTTTATTTACATGTCATTTGATCATTATAACCACTACGCAGAGAAAATATATCTGCATTTTACAGATGGGGTGCAGCAGATTATGTTTTTAACCACCTAGGTCACACAGCTAGTAAGTGGTGGGGTTAGGGTTTGAACTCAGGTCTGTCCTATGTCAACCCCCTGACTTTCCTTCTATTTTATACAAACATATTAACGTATCTCTACATAGTTGAAAGTGGAGCAAATTTGGTTGGGCAGGAGGCAGCTCTATAAGGAAAGGAAGGGACAGGAAGTACAAAATCCCTGAGTTGCTCTCTTACTCTCCTCTCCCTTTGCTCCTTACAGCCACCTGAGCCTCCAAGCCATGAACAACGCCCTGAGGGATACCGAGGCCCGGAGTTACCGTGAGTGCCTCCTTCCCTCTATGGCTCGGACTTCTTCAATCACCCAGGTCATGCCAGCCAAGAAGATAACCTTCTTCAAGCGAGGGGACCCACAGTTTTCTGGGGTCCGGCTGGCGGTTCACCAACGCACTTTCAAGAGCTTCACTGCCCTGATGGACGAGCTCTCTCAGCGCATGCCTCTCTCCTTCGGGGTGCGTTCTGTCACCACACCCCAGGGGCTGCACTGCCTCACCACTCTGGAACAACTGGAAGATGGAGGGTGCTACCTCTGTTCTGACAAGAAGCACCCCCAAGTCCTCAGTGGATCTGGTAGGTTACAAAGGAGACACCTCTCTGCTCAGCCATTGGAGGATTTCAAAGGCCGGTGTGAGGTGCCAGGAACATCCTCTTCCTGGAAGGACCCTAAAGCCCCGAAGAGAATCATACTGGTTAAGAACACAGACCCTAGATTCCAACGGACTGTGGTTCTCAGTCACAGAAACACTAGGAGCCTTACAGCCTTTCTGAGCAAAGCCTCAGATCTTCTGCACTTTCCCGTGAAGCAGGTGTTCACAATCAGTGGGAAAAAGGTAGGTTCTTGAGTGAGGTATGATATTTACTTAAAATAATTCTTGGGAATTTAGGTAAAAATATTTAGAGGAGCTCTGGTGGTGTCGTGGGTAAGGCATTTGGCTGCTAACCTGAAGTTTGGTGGTTCAAACCCATCAGCTGCTCCACAGGAGGATGATGAGGCAATCTACTTCCATAAAGATTTATAGCCTTGGAAACCCAATGGGGATTGTTATGAGTTGGAAGTGACTTGATGGCAGTAGGTTTGGCTTATTTTCCTAGGGCTCCCGTCACATACTTGGTTGCTTAAAACTGCAGAAATTTTTGGTCTCACAGTTCTGGGAACTAAAAGTCCAAAACCAGGGTGTTGGCTGTGTTTATTCTTTTTGAGGGCTCCGAAGGAGAATTTGCTCCATGCTCTCTCCTAATTTCTGGTGATAGCTGGCAATCCTTGTAATTATTTGGGTTGTGGCAGCAGAATTCCAGTCTCTGTGTTTATCTTCACATAGCTGCTATCTTGCTTCTCTGACTGTGTCTCTTCTCTTTTGATACACCAGTCATATTATATCAGAGTCACTGTACTCCAGTATGATCTCATGTTAACTAATTACATCTGCAAAAACACCATTTTCAAATAAGGTCACATTCACAGGTATTGGAGGTTAGGATTTGAAATGTCATTTTGGGGACATATTTTAACCCACAATGGATGGAATGAAAGAGTTATTCCTTAAAAAGTGGTCACTGATTTCCCTGCTACTAACTTGACGGCAAAACAACAACAACAACAACAACTAAAGGTGACTAGAGGGGAGACATTCAGTTAGTTAATCAAACAAGCTATTGTTATTCACACTTTTAGTTGCCATTTAGAGAACACTGACTACATGCAGGCACTGTGCTTTGTACCCTTTGCATTATTTTCTTATTCAATTCCTCTTAGCAACTATTTCAGTAAGAGTTGTTAGGAGAAACAGACACTACCTGAGATACCTTAAGCAGAATGCAGTTTACTACAGGATGTTAGAAGCTTCCAAAACCTTAGAAAGCCGGATGATTGAGCTCTATCTAGACCTGAAGGAATGACTCCCAGAATCCTGAAAGAAGCTGCTACCTGTGCTTGAGACTACTGTAATTCCAGTGTTGAAGAACACTTCTCTGAGATCCAACAGATGTACCATCTCAGGACCATAGTACTGGGGGACACAAGTCTCAAGTGGCACAACAAAATGCATAAAAGTCTTGTTCCTCATCCTACATTGGTGAGTAGTGACTGGGGTCTTAAAAGCTTTCAAGCGGTCATCTAAGATGCAGCTAATGGTCTCCTATAGTCAGAAGTGAAGAGGAGTGGAAAAAAAAAAAAAAAGGGCATTTGGAAGCAATCAGCCCTAGGACACGATGGCCCTCGAGACCAAATGAACTAGACTGGTTTCTGGCCACCAATGCCAATCACTCAGGAAAGGATCAAATCTGGAGATCCTGGATAGAGTGGGAGGAAAAATGTGAAACAAAATCCAAAAACTCAATAATGACCAGAATTACTGGTCAGATGGAGTCTGGTGAGTCCTCCAATACTATGGTCCTGGGATACATTCTGGGCCTAGAATAAAGCTCACTCCCAGGGACTGGCTCTCAGCCCAATAGTAAACAAGATGTACATGCAGACCAGTCAACCCAGGATGATGCACCCACATACTCTATGGAAATGCATCCCTTGGTGCAATCAACCACAGGGCATCAGAGGGGCAACATTCACATGGATGAAATGCAGGACAAACAGGAGTGCATAACTATGAGGGGCAAGGGAGGGAGGGTTAATGGGCAGGGAGGGGAGGAGACTGGGTTAGGGCTGGGCATGGTAAATGGGGAGTGAAACTAAATGTACAAGTAATGTTGAGGTAAAACAAACTCTTAAAATAAAAAATTTAGAAAATAATAATAATAAGAAGAACACTTCCCTGTAGGTATCCAAGATTATGAAGCTGGGATCGGAAAACTGCTGCAGCTGCCTTTTGACACCAGGAACTCTGGAGTGCTGAGTCTAGTCCCTTCAGCCTTAGCTGTTATAGTCTCCTAATACCCACACACTTACCTGGCAGCAAATACTGTGAGAACGAAGAAAAAAATAATACCTATCTCATTTCTAACTTCCTAATGTTGACCAAGGACACCAAATTGGTGGGGAACTTAATCTGCATCTAGCCCTAACTGTAGAGGAAGCTAGTTAATATAATTTTTGCCTTTCCAGGTCCTTCAGAACATGAATGCCCACCAACGATGGGCAAGAGGAATGGATGTCTCCACACAACCCAATCCTATAGCTATTTAACATCTGTGTACACCACTCTACTAATGCCAACAGCAGCATATTTCCACCTAATGGAGTAACTTTCTCTCAAAAAATCAAAAACATTCTAACTTTCTTCCCCAATGTCTCATCAATTACCATCTAGTTCTAGTTCAGTCACAATTCCATCTTGATATCCTGTATCTGAAGGTCTAATTATCAAGTCCACCACTGCCAAAACACCTTATATAAAATAATATAGGATAACAAAAGAAAAAAAAAATTAAAAGTTGGTTAATATGTATATATGTAGCACAGCTGTGAAGAAACTTAGGTTATCTACCACAATGCCATTATTTGTACTTAAAATTTTCTTCCACTCTCCATTTCATGCTCACTCTGCCCTCAGACAACACTTTAGCCAGTTGTGGTTATGTACCTGGTGCGATGACTGAACTACCATTCTTGGGGAGTCTGAGCTTTTAGTGGTTTTCCTTATATTGTGTTATTGTAGTTTTGTATTAACTTTTACTCACTGGAAATGGTGGTATTAGTTGTTATTGTTGTTATGTGCCATCGAGTTGGCCCCAACTCATAGCAACCCTTCCTTGGGTTTCCAAGGCAATATCACTATGGAAGTAGGTTGCCCAACCTTCCTTCCGAGGAGTGGCTGGTGGGTTTGAACCACCAGCTTTCTGGTTAGCAGTCAAGTGGCTTAAGCACTATGCTACCAGAAGGTGCCCCAAAAGCTTCACTGGGCAGTAAATGTTTTCTTCTCAGTCCTCATTGTGTAATAACAATCCTATTTCCCCTTGATAATCAGAATCAAACATCTCATCTAACACAGAAAACCTCTTTTTATCTATTGGTTCAAAGTCATAAAGAGCTCCATATGGTCAGGAGGTAGTTTCACCTTTCAGATCCATGGAAGCACTGTTGTGTCTCCTGGAGGGAACATCCTCCCCTGGGTTCTGAAACCTCTAAGCTAGCAAAGTCCAAAGTTGCTGGAATGCGAAGGAAGAGTTTTACACCTTGGTCAGTAGCTGCAATAGTGAGAGGAGTCACTCTCTTTCCTGCCCCTTAATTCCCAAGTATCTGTTGACTCTGGAGAAACAGCACTTGTATTGCTTGCTATTTTGGAGCACATATCACATCCTGTAAGACAACACCTTAACATCATAAAGTGATGTCTTCCAGCTGGTGCCAAAGTTGAGTATTCCATAGGAGATTTTATTTTTCTATAAGTATGGCTGCTTTTTGGTGATGAGATATATGGTTACATGGTGAGTTCTATGAGTGTCTTAATATTGTTCTACTTCTTTTGCTATAAAATCAATTATTTGGATAGAAGTAATCTTCCCAAGTTCTGGCAATGATAAATAAGGCATTCAGTAAGTCCATAGATAATGACACTGGCAAAAGAATGATAGGAAAAGAAGGAAGTCTATATCCAAAATAAGTGTCTATTTCAGTGAATACAAATATCTAATACTCTTCCGTTTTGAAGATGTCCGATGTAATCAGCCTCTCACCAGTGGCTGGCTGATTCCCTCAGATATGTTGCAGAGCATAAGTTTTATGATTGGTCTCTGCTGTTGGTAGCTTGAGCCCTCAGCAACCTTAGCCAGATCAACAGTATGAGGTGGAGTTTATGTTGTTAGTTAATGCCATTTTGTCACTTATTCCGTGAGGTGATCAAGCATGTCCTGGGTGATTGGAGAAGAGAATGACTGACATTCACTGAATAGTTAATTTCTCCACATGATTGTTGGGAATCCACCCTGTAGTGGATACTCTTTGGGAAGCATTCAGATAGGCCACATTCTGGGCCTATTCTGAGAGATTATTTCACTACTCTTTTTCTTGTCATCAATTCTCCAGTCTTGTTCCTTCCAAGTTCCTGATTACCAGGTTGAGCCATTAACCACTACCCACAAATTGGTATAGACCTTCCCTCCATTGCTTCTTCTAAGAAAAAGAGTCAATCAAATAACATTTTCACCTGGACTTTTCTTCCTCTGATTCCCGAGTTGGTTAGTAATGTTGAGCCACTCAACTTTTTGCTAGTGTCAGCACATCCTGTGAAACTATCTGAAATCCAGAAGCAAACATTTTCTTCCCCAGCTAACTGGTCATGGGAATTTCCTGAGAAGTCCTAAGTGTGTGCTGAGCAGAGGTGGCAATGCAGTAAGGCAAATGAACTTGAAGTGTGAATTACCTGCTCACACAACTTGTATCTTCAGGATCAGCTTGCCTCTCATCACTAGTACATGTTACCTCCACCTGAGGATTGAGTGCTGTTTCAACACACCTACTATGTAGCTCTGGTAGCATAGTGGCTAAGACACTTGCCTGCTAACCAGACGGCTGGCAGTTTAAACACACCAGCCACTCCTCGGAAAGAAGGTTGGGCAATCCTACTTCTGTAGTGATACTGCCTCGGAAACCCAAGGAGGGGTTGCTATGAGTCGGGTTTGACTCGACAGCACATAACAACAACAACAACACTATGTGACTTATGAACTATATGACACCCAGTTCAGTTGTATTTCAGCAACAAGCAGAAGAGTTGCTGTTACAAAATGAAGACAGGGAGGAAAACATTTATTGCTCAGGGAAATTTTGGGGATGCCCTCCGATGCTGCCATGTCCAGTGGGTAAAAGTTAATATAAGAGCATAGTTACACAATATAAAAGAACCAGCCATGTCCCTATAAGAGATAAAACCAAAAA